GCGACTAAATCAACCCCCTTTTTTCTTGCATACGGAGTCGAAGCCATGGCTCCAGCTGAAGTTAACGTCTCTAGCCTCCGGCGTTCCAAAATGCCACAACACATCGAGCTCAATGAAGACATGCTCCTCAACGCGCTCGACGAACTGGAGGAACGCCGCGATCAAGCATTGCTCCGGATCCAGAACTACCAACACCAGATTGAAAGCTATTACAACAAAAGAGTCAAGGCAAGACCGCTCGCGCTCGGAGACCTTGTACTCCGCAAGGTATTCGAGAACACCAAGGAGCTCAATGCTGGCAAGCTAGGCGCACTATGGGAAGGACCATACAAAATCATCAAGGTCATCAAACCAGGCGTCTACCGACTTCAAACCTCGCACGGCGAAGACGTCCCAAGGGCATGGAACTCCATGCATCTTCGCCGCTACTATTCGTAAGACAGTTGTCTACTCCCTTCCATCCGAGTAAATTTGGATGATAACAATCACTTCCACCGGAAAAAAAAAAAAAAAAAAAAAAAACGAGTAGATGCACGCTAGTTGTCACTTCTACTCGCCCGAGTAAATGAGCCTTAAAACAACCACTTTTTCTCGGGTAAACCGAACTACGAACGGCTTGATCCTCTTTGGAGGTATGTAGGTAGCCGCCTTAATCGGTCCAGCTGTAACAACAACCAAAAACAAACGGGTAGATGCACCCTAGTTGTCACTTCTACTCGCCCGAGTAAATGAGCCTTAAAACAGCCACTTTTGCTCGGGTAAATCGAACTACGAACGGCTTGATCCTCCTTCGGGGTACGTAGGCAGCCCTAATCAGGCGCAGCTGTAACAACACCAAAGTCTAAACTTTGTGACGATCCAACGCGATCAAGGCGATATTCACATTCTCGTCTGCAGACGAGGACACAGATACTCGCACCCACGAATCAGTCATGTCCTGATCAGACACTTGGTTGAGGGATCCAAAGTCGCATCCCATCAGGATCGACATGCGAAAGAAATCCGGACCGCTATCTGAGTAAACGAATGAACGTTTTGGCCGACTAAACTCGTTATGTCACCAACTAGCCGGTCTGGAACCTTTCTTTCAGGAATAGATACCTAACAGGGAATCGCTCCCTCCGGAATATAACTCGGAGAAGTCTTACAACAAGGAAGGACCCAGCAGGGCCTCAGAAAACAAAAAACAAAAGAAATCCCTAAGGTAAATAGCAATACAACAAGAGGCGATCAAATCGCGTTTTCCTTCGAACCGGAGGGATCCTCAGCGATGGTAGCAGCCAACTCGGATCCCGATCCCTTTGCGACTTCGCTGTCTCCAACGGTGGTAAGACTCTCCACAAGGTCAACCAAAGATGCCGGCTCATCTCCACCAGCCTCTTCAGATAACTCCTTATGTTCAACCGGAGTCAGAGAAGCAAGCTTCTCAGCAAAGTCCGACTCCTCTTGCCCTTTCGACGGCTCTTCCATCCCATCGTCGCCCTCTTTTCGAGACGGAACCACATCGGTTGGAATCTCCTGCGACTGACCGGTTGATTCGTTTCCAAGAGCTTCGCATGACGTCCGGAGCTGCGAGGCCGTCTCTGATCTAACTAAGTCATCATTCGATCCGTACGGATCGAGCGTAGCCGCGAACTCCTCATTCACGAACCTAGAAGGGAGAACCAGTGGCGAAAGGGTGAGATCAGCATCGGATAAAGGAGCTACTTTCAGTTTAGCAACGTTGGCTTCATGCTCCTTCTCTTGACCGCCGAAGATATCAATCAGTTCCTGCGTGATACCAACCTTTTCTTCCTGGATCATCTCAAGACATTTCTTTGTCCCAGAAGCCTGATCCAACAAACTTTGCTCCCGATCGACGAGGCTACGACGTTCGAGGTAATCCCGGACACGATCGATGCAACGGTTAGCTTTGTCGGTCATAGCCGCCTCAACACGCACCCTCTCGCGCGTAACCTCCTTGCTTCGCGAGTCCCGCAGGCGCTGCCTTTCATCGATCAGCTTTTGCGTCACAGCATCCCTTTCCGCCTGAAGCTCCGCCTTCTCTTGCTCCAGTGCAGCGTTGGCTTTCTCGAGACTCGCTTTCTCCCACGCAAGCAACTTCTTTGCGGCACGGTCGGCTTTGAGTATTTTCTCGAACCCTGCAAACTTCTCACGAAGGATCTCTTTATCCTTCTTGTTGTCGGCCTTGATCTGTTCAATGATGCCGAGTCTTGTGCGGGCAAGCTTTTCCGCATTTCTAAGTAGAACCATCGTCTGCCTCAAAGTCCTATCGTACTTCTCGACGAGTACGTTCATACTCCAATCGGCCTGAAAGCAAACAAACAAACGTAAAGATATCGGTTTTGAAGGGGATAAAAATGCAACTACAACCATCAAAGCTTCGATCAGAGTACATACCCGTCTGTTTTGAAGTGCAGCTTCCGTGTACTCATCTTTAAAGAAAAGATCTCCAACCTGAGGCATCTCAACTGGTCCGCCTTGGATCTGTCGAGTAAGCTCCGCGCACCGGTCTGGGTTATGTATCAAAGGAGTCTTTTCATCATACGAGAAGTTCACGCGATCCGTGAACTCGACCCGGGGTCTCTTACCAAGTGAACCTTCCGATAGGCTCACCCGAGTGGGAGACTTCCTCTTCTCAAGGATATCGGTTGGGGAAGGATCTACCGACCGGTTACGCGCTTCAGTCTCATCATCAGCGTTCACCGTCCCCTTAGTGTCTGCAGGACGAGATTCGGGACTTAGAGACCGCGAGACCTCCTTAGCAACTTTCCTCTTCTTTTTCTTCTTCGGACTTTCTCCTGAACCCTTTTCTTCAGGATCATTCCCGGTAAGACCGCCATCGACAGAATTGTCGCGCGATCTTTTTCCCTTCTCCTTCTCCCCTACTTCCAAACCATCCGAATGCCCTTCTAAAGGATTAGCCTCTGTCGGTGACCGTACTTTCTTCGTCGCGGGGCTCTTCCGCTTTTTCTTCTTCTTCTTCGCTTCAGGAGCCGGCGAGGTGATCGCCTAAACGAGCTCTCACAGGCGACGACTTAGTCGTGCTACTAGACGAGCTCAAGGTGACGCCTAAACGCGCCAACAGAAGACATCCTAGCCGCGCGACTAGATGCGCTCGAGGTGATCGCCTAAACGAGCTCTCACAGGCGACGACTTAGTCGTGCTACTAGACGAGCTCAAGGTGACGCCTAAACGCGCCAACAGAAGACATCGTAGCCGCGCGACTAGATGCGCTCGAGGTGATCGCCTAAACGCGCTCTCACAGGCGACGACTTAGTCGTGCTACTAGACGAGCTCAAGGTGACGTCCTAACGCGCCAAAAGATGACATCCTAACCGCGCGACTAGATGCGCTCAAGGTGATCGCCTAAACGCGCTCTCACAGGCGACGACTTAGTCGCGCTACTAGACGAGCTCAAGGTGACGCCTAAACGCGCTCGTCGAAGACATCCTAGCCGCACTACTAGACACGCTCAAGGTGATCGCCTAAACGTGCATCCATGCTAGATTCCCCATTTGATCAAACCTGACCCACAAATTCACTTAAAGTCCTATGAAATCATAAGTGAACTGGGGGGGACTTATTGTAGGAGATGGGTTATACCCCTCCACAAGGCCCATCAAATGGAGAAACTTAGCCCAACACGGCAATATACTCAGCCCATTAAACATATAAGAAACGCCTCAGCACGAGGACGTGTTTAGTAGCGCGACTAAGAGTGTTCTGGAAGAGTCGGCAGAAGTATGATTTACCCGGACTACTAAATAAGCCCAATAAGGATAAAGCCCAACAAGGCTCGGGTAAACTAGGGCAAACACGAAGATAAGGTCAATAAAAAGGAGAGAGGAAACAAGGAGAAGGGGAACCGGACTTGGACATACTCACTAAGCGGCTAGATCTAGGGTTTCATAGAGACTAGGTGGTTAGATCTAGGGTTTGCTTATCTTCACCGTTACTCACCACTTTGTAGTCTTCCGGTCTGCTCTCCGAGCTCCGGCTAGATCGCCTCTTTACTCACCTCCTTGTAATCTCTTGTTAGATATAATAAAGAGCGTCTTTGTTCGCCCCAATCTCTCTCTTTATATTGTTCTTGACCATTTTCACCTCAAACACCATGTCACGGAGTTGAAACTCGTACACGCAGTTTCTTCGACGGTTATCTATTGCGGTGCTATAGATTTCTATGCTCACCTCAGTTCATCTCTCGATCCTAATTTATCCCTTCAGATTTACATTATTCTTCTATTATTTGGGTTCATCTCTGTGCATCTTCGATTTCAGCGGCTCCAAAGATGCAACCCAGCGGATGTAAATAGATATTACTACAAACTTTCATAACAACAGTAAGGTATGTCGACACTGTTTGATTGATATTCGATTGTCATTCTTTCGCTCATTGCTTGACAATGGAACACACATATTTCCACAGTTAGAAGTTTATATCGTTTGGCCGAAGATTTTGACTAACCCCTATAAATATTTTCCAAATCTCTCAGTCAATAGACTCACGAGTATAATTTTAATTCTTCAGAATATAAACCCTTTTTCAATTGACCGTTTATTTTTTAATGTTTGTTTCAGAGATTTCTGTATCTCTTACGGGATGAACCAGCTGCATATATAACTGCATTGTTACTTATTCATTAGGAAACACAAAGGTACTTTCTTTTATATTACATCCAATTTGGGTCAAAACCAGTTGAGATCTTGCTTTTTTCTCAAAAGATTGTTTTTTTTTCTTTTTCTTTCTGTAACCTGAGATGAGAGATGGAAGAGGAGGCAAACATAATCAAATATCAGTATTCAAATGGATATGTATAAATAAAATAATTTACAAAGTTCGAATGTATTGAACTTAGAATAGATACTTTCGCCTCTTAAGTTTTGAATAAATACTGGTCCTGAAGGATTAAGATTTGTCTATCAACTGCATCAGATTTTGTGCCCTTTTTAAGGATGGAATCATCGAGTGGAGGAAGATGAGAGTGCTTCAAAAAATGAGTGGTGGTTCGTGGGCTGATCCACGTTTCCAAGTAGTAAGTTGTAAGCATAATACTCTTAAAATACAAAGCACTTTGGACGGGGAAGGCCAACTTTATGTTAAAAAGATTCAGGAGAGGTGTGCTTAAAGTCATCTTCTTTTCACAATTTTTAGTTTGTTATGTTGACTTTTCATATCTATATGGCAGATTGGTAGAATACCTACTGAGTGGGCTTGGTGTCTTCTACCGCATGTGAGAGACAAAAAGGTTAGGCTAGAAGGGAGATGCAAGTCGATGCCTGAAGCATTAGGCATTATGGATACGATTCTTCTTTCAGTAAGGTATATACATTACAAACTATTGCGTTTTGATTGATTCTTCCGGTGCTTAGTTTTGAAGTTTTTTGTTTTTAATGCAGCGTGTAAATCAATAGTTCCATGTTTCAAAACCATAGTGTGACTTCACTAACGTAGCCAGTAATACGGCGGAGGAATCAATGTTTTGATACTCTCACACACCCCTTGCGGTAATGGTAACCTTTACTGTAACTCTAAAATTTGCTGAATGTTAGACAGTTAGCAGTTCCTATATACTTCCATATTCTGTTGTGATTGCAATTTTTTGAGATGGCAAAGAATTATTGTAGTTCAGAAGGATCCACTTATTTAACAACAAACATGAGAAGATCGACCATTATCCGTAGAATAAAAGACTGGTTACAAAATACATTTAACTATAAGAATAGAGAAACATGACATGGCATGTAATTCAACTCACGTACTCTTTTCACCTGTATATGTTTTCAATAAATATTACAAGGATGTTGTATAGCTTAGGGAGGAAAAGAAGAGAGTAACATGATGTCTGCTAGCTTGACTGATAATCTTTATTATATACTTTTTTCTTGGATCATGTTTGAAACATATAACTTTCAACTCAATTCAGAATTTTAATATAGGCGATTATTGCTGGATCATGTTTTAAAAATATGATAAGACTTTCGGAAGAAATTTTACATTTACAAGTTTACTGTTGTTTCACCATGAGATAACTTCTATGACAACTGTATGCATATAACTAAAATTTTACAATTTTCTATGTTTTCAATTCTTGAATAACAACCAAAACGTTGAGATAAAACATGTTTCATGTTTAAATGATAAAAATGTAAAATCTAAAACTAAGGAAAATAATAATAAAAAATACATCATGTTTGAAAATAATACATTAAATCACAAAACAATATTACAAATAGTTGAAAATGAAAGCAATTGGAAATTCAAAATACAAATATACAATATTTATATGTTTTTTGAAACTACTAACATTAAATCCATATTTCATTTAAATCACGTAAACAAATATAGTATTTCCAATACAAAAAATGTTTTCAAAATACCTCCATATATCTTATTGTTCTAAATTTATAATCAACCATGACGTCTACTCACTTATAGCTTATAGCACACACCTTCCACGTATAAATTTCAAATATATTTAGTATTTAATTATTTAGAACTCGAGAAATAAATCATTTGATTTCAAACAGTACCACCATATGTTGTTGGCTAATAGGTATCAGGCAATGAATAAACCTCAATTATTCAAATGACAGAAGTTGTTATATTCACGCTTATGCATAGATACACCTAAGCTTCAGTTCATTTTTTCGGTTCTTCGTATTTTGGTTTATGAAAATTAGCTACCATATTGAAACTGTATCTAATTTAATTTTATTCGATTTATATACAATCATTTATCAGCTTGTTCGGTAAAAAACATAATTATATTTTTTTGGTAACAAATTTTAGATTATATGAATAAAAATTAAATTTATTAAAACATAAATATATATTCCTTAGTCTGACTTCAAATATAATATTTATGTTTTATTTTAATATAAAATAAGAAAATAAAATAACATATCATAATATTACTGTATAATTATATTTCAGCACAAGGAGTTATCAATAAAAATAAAAATATGTTTTATTTAATTTGACGAAATGAGTAAAAATATTTTAACATAAAAAAAATAAAATTTATAAAAGTCAATATTGTAACTATAAATGTCATATTAGTAAAATAAATTATGTATATATTGTTTTAATTGTTACATATAAGTATAATTTTAATTAATCAGTTTCTTCGGTTATATACCAAACCAAATTCACATACTGCGGGTTTTTTAAAATATTATACATTTGTTTTATTCAGTACGACCACCTCCAAAAAATTTTTTTCCTATTTCAGTTCTGTTTTGACGAATTAAACACCCTTAAATTACACCCAAAGGAAACATATTCAACAACAAAACTTATAAAGTTTTAATGTAGAACCTTTCGGATGTCGATTGTGGTACATATTATTTATGGAATGACCAAGCAGAAAATTTCAGATAATTATAAAACATCAAAGATTAAAAAACAAATTATTTTATAATAGTCATTAACCTGAACATATAAAAGCTTAAGCAAAAAATTGCATTAGAGCTTGACTGGTTCTTCTGCCATCACCCGAAAACGCAGCTTTCGCGGTTGTTAGTGGTTGTTGATGTTTTATAACAATCACAAAAAACGCTATAGACCGCTTCAAATCGCTCTGAATCTCTAAAATCCAAAAGCTGGTTTCAGCTAGCGTTTTCGGTTGCAGGCGATTGCAGGAGGATAAAAATATTTTTTCCCAGAAAACCATATAAATATAAAAATAAAATATTAAATTAAAATAATTGAAATACCAAAATATTTATATTATAAAATTTCCAAAAATATATTTTCTTTAATTTTTTAAAAATTTAATAGTACTATTTTATCAATAAAATTGTTATCTTTATTATAAAAATATGATTTTAATATTTTTATAATTATATAAAATATAAATATTGTTAATTTATTATTTAACCGCTGTTGTATTTCATAATAAATCAGTCATAAGTATCCCACAAACGTAACAATTTTTAACCGTAGAACCAGTCGTCTAAATCTCTAACTAATGATTAAAACTGCAATCTCCTGCATCCGCAAACATCCGCAACCGCAATCGCTACGTTGTAACCAGTCAGACCCTTAACCTATATAGTCATGTGATTTACTGTTTGAAAATTCCGTTTTAGGTTCAAAATTGTAAATCTATTTTTAAAAATCAAGAAAAATGATTGGTAAAATATTATTAATACATTATCCGCGCGTAGCGTGGACAAAAGATCTAGTATATGTAGAATGCTGACAGTTAGTTTATTTAAAAGTAGATCAGTGATAAAAGATTTAACATTCCAAGAAACTGTATGGATGAGTATTAATAGTGATCTTCTTTTAATAGAATAGATCTTACTATCTCATATAAAACTTTCCGTAAAATGATTTATATATTTTAATAACAGATACCATATCACTAATTCTACCAACAAATCTAATGATTGCAGTGAAAGAAATATATTTTGTTCGTAAAAAAATAAAATCAATGTAATACAACAAGAGAATTTTGTGTTTGTGATGCTGACGATCTAAAGTTTGCAAGAATATTCATAGAGTTGATACTCTATTGATAAATAATACCACCAAAGAAAAAATATTTTTATGGTTGTCTTCTATTCGTTTTCATTATGATGTGTAGTTTCAGTATTATTTATGTATTTGTATCATCTTTTAATTATTTAGTTAATAAATTTAATTTTTTTAAAAGAAAAGAAATATATTTTGTCGGTTATAAAATAATATATTAAGTAAATAACAAATAAAGTATTGAAATGATCACAAACATGATGACAAAAAAAAAAAGAAAAAAAATCACAACAATCCAGTGTACCTACGTGAATCACCAGTATTAATACCTACACTTGTCAAAATTCAATAAACCAACTCAAACCAACCAATATCTATATGAATCCATACTCTTATGGATTATGGATAAATCCAATCCATGTAATTAATGGTTTGGATAAATCCATAACTCATTTAAATTAGTGGATTAATAGTTTTAATGAGTGATTCACTATTTTACATATTATCACTAGAGTCGGTTCGCGCTATGCGTGAGATATATTATATGTATGATGTATGTAACTATATAATTGTATATTTTGTTGTTTGTGCTTTATACAAGCTTTTGCAAGAACGGTATATATTAACGCTTGTGATTTTAAATAATGTTAGGTTGTGTAAATATTTTTTATTATGTTTGATTTTTGTTGTTTTCTATATTAATAAATTTCCGCGGATAACATATTACATTGGTGGATGAAGTGTAGATGATATTCTTGTTGTATGAGTTTTGATATTATTAATCATGATCGGTTGGTTAATTGTACGTTGCTGATATTGTAAAGGATGATCTAACTTTTATGGTTAATCAATTCCTTTTCGAGGGAACGGTGCCATCGGGCCTAAATGACACCAACATATGTCTCATTCCAAAAGTGGAGAAGCCAAATCAGATGAGTCTGTTACGCCCTATTAGTTTATGCAATGTTAGCTACAAGATTATCTCTAAGGTCTTATGCATGAGATTAAAGAAGTTTCTTCCAGATAGGATCTCAGAGACCCAGTCAGCCTTTGTTGCTGGGAGACAGATATCTGATAACATTATGATAGCTCAGGAGTTGTTCCATGCTCTAAAAACAAAACCGAGTGGTCGAAATAAGAGGATGGCTATCGAAACAGATATGAGCAAGGCGTATGATAGAATGGAATGGTCCTTCATTGAGGCCACCATGCGAAAGATGGGCTTTTCTGAAGTGTGGATAACTATGATAATGAGATGTGTAACTTCAGTAAAATATAAGGTCCTCATGAATGGACATCCAAGAGGGAATATTGTTCCGGAGAGAGGTCTACGACAAGGAGATCCTCTGTCCTCTTTCATTTTTATTCTGTGCACGGAAACGCTTGCTAGCCTTCTAAATCACGCAGAGAATCAAGGGAATATACGGGGATGCGCATCACGCGTGCGTGTCCCTCGGTATCTCACCTTCTCTTTGCTGATGATAGTCTGTTTTTCAGTAAGGCGGAGCCCCGTGAATGTGAAGAAGTAATGAAAGTGGTCAAGATGTATGGACAAGCTTCAGGACAATGAATTAATTTTGAGAAGTCTTCTTTACTCTTTGGTAAAAGAATCGGACAGGATGTGAGACAAGAGAACTAAGACACACTTGGGATACAAAATGAAGGAGGAATGGGGTCATATCTGGGTATACCAGAGGATATCAGTGGGTCCAAATGTAAGCTCTTTGCTTTCCTTAAAGACAAGCAGAGAAATAGAGTGAATGGATGGACTGGGAGATGGCTTTCTAAAGACGGGAAAGAAGTTATGATAAAATCAATCATGCTTGCCCTCCTGACGTATGTAATGTCTTGCTTCCTTCTCCCACTGGAGATTTGTGAAAATCTAGCTAGTGCCATTGCACAATTCTGGTGGAGCTCAAATCCGC